AATCAGAGAATGCATGGGCTAGTGGATGCTGGTGTAGGGTCAGAGAAAGTCTAATGGTGGGGGACTGAGGGGATGTGCAGTGTGAAGGGAATGTTTCAGGATGGATACAATTTTGAACAGGAGTAGGGCAAAGAGCCTGATTTAGTAACTTAGGTGTGTTTGGAAGGCGGAGTAGAGACCAGCGTGCTCTAGAGTTGAGTTTGGATTTGGGAGGAATAGAGATGGTATAGGTGAATTATAAATGCCAGGAAATAGAGCATCTTAATCTCCAGGCTTTTATTCTGTCTTCATTAATCTCTGTGATCATCTCGGTTTCTCTTTTCTAACTTCTACCTGTCCTTTCTGAGATTCAATAAACTGATTAATTTTACAAAATGTTCCAGGTACAGATACAGCACTGTTTGGTTTAAGAATATGTTAACAAATTCTGTTTGGGCTCTGATACTTTTGCAGATGAAGGCCGTCATTTATCTTGGCCTTTCTGGCTGTGCCAGCACATTCAGCTGATGTCTCTAAAAAAATAGTCCACTATGGTTTTAAATTTTCTTTCTTAGATAGTAATTGATGGCCTTTGGCCCTTAAGCCTACATAATTGAGATTGCTTTTTTGCTGCATAGATTACTGGCAAGTGGTAATACCCTTTTAAGGGGAGAATCTAAGGATCTAAAAATAAGAGGGGTCTTGTTTTTCTACCTTGTCACCCAACCTAGCTGGCCCATTGACGTCGTCCTGAAATTTATCCTCTGATCTTTAGATTGTACTACAAAGAGACTTGTGAACTTGGAGAGTTCAAGTGTACTCCTCTGAGCGTATTTGCAAATACTAAAAGACAAATTAGTGTCCCTTTCAGTGTTTTTGTTTGTTTTAATTTTTGTTTTGTCTAATACTTTTCTCTGTAAGCCAAACTTTCACATTATGCTTTGATCCCTATTATTTTCTCTCTCCTTTCCTCAGCCAAAGAAACCGTGAACACGTTAAAGTAGCATTGTTTGTATTTCTGTAGTAGTGTATGGAACAGTTTGTTTACAGAGAAGTTTAGGGAATAGAGATTTTTCTAGTTAAAAGGGTAGGGGATGTATCCATAATTAAAGATCTATACACAAGAATGTTCCTTCTGCCCTGGCTGGCATAGCTCAGTGGATTGAGCACAGGCTGCGAACCAAAGTGTCGCAGGTTGAAAATTTGAATTAAATTTTCCCAGTCAGGGCACATGCCTGGGTTGCAGGCCATGGCCCCCAGCAACCACACATTGATGTTTCTCTTTCTTCCTCCCTTCCCTCTCTAAAAAAAAATAATAATAAAAAATCTTTAAAAAAAACTTGAAAAAAAAAAAAGAATGTTCCTTCTGGAATATTAGAAATCATTGTGAAAATGATTGAGTTGGTTACATTTTTATTTAAAAGCAACTTTAGGATCACTTCTGTTATGTCAAATAAGGCACATGGTAAACTTGTGTTTTCTAAATGTTGGGTAAGGAATAAATAAATGGGAGGGAGATAGAAAACCACTTCTTGGGCATTGAGTGTGTGCTGGATAGCATTCTAACATTTGCAAATCGACCTCGCTACCTGCTGGTATTAACACCCACCAGGAATTGTGCTAAAAGGGCTTTTTACACACTGTCTCATTTAAACCTCCCAACCCTCTTAAGATTAGTTAATTTACTTCTTAAAAAGGTGACAGATGTACATGATACTAATTTAGAAAGGTACAAAAAGATTTGCAGTAAAAACTACATTTCTTTGCTGCCGGTCCTCTAGTCATCTGGTTCCTTTCAAACCACTTGCTGCTAGTGTCTTGTGTCTTCTTTCAGAGGTGCTTTATAAGGACATAGACCTAATTCCATATGAATATGTAGGTATGTTTTATTTTAAAGTTTTTTATAGAAATGGTGGCATATTATGCATACTGTTCTGCATCTTTTTCCAATGAATGTTTTAGAGTTTGTTTCATGTCAGCGGATATAGAACTGCTTCGTTGTTTTTAACAGGTGTATTATAATTTACTTCACCAGTCTCTTGTTAATGATAATTATTTTTCTTTTAGTAGGTAAGTTCAGTCCATGACATTTATTGGAATGATTAATATGTTTGGACTTAGTTCTATTTTTAATATTTTCTTTAAAAATGTTTCACTATAAAGACTGTACTCACTTTGGAGGTGGGTATACATGTATATGTTCTGTTAATTTGGAAGGCTTACCCTTTCATTTTAGTGATTATGTTTATAAGTATAACTTTATACCATATTTCTTCAGATAATACCTGTTGACTCCCTTACAGGAACAATGATGAAATTAGTAGTTACATTTTCTGCCCTCTCCCCACCTGCTTTTATTTGGCTATATTATTTTTCTTGGGTTTATTTTATATCTTAAAACATACTCATGTCTCTATTACTTGAGCTCTCAGCCATCAATGTCTTTTGAGCCTTGTCAGTAAAAGATGAGAACATCAGTGTATATACTTATGTAGTTTGCCGAATACATTATTTTTACATCTTTTTCTTTTTGGTATATAATTGCAATATATCTTTTTAAATTTTATTTTTCAATTAGTGTTGGCATTTAGTATTATTTTATATTAGTTTCAGGTGTGTGGCATAGTGGTTAGATAATCACATGATGTATAAAGCAATCCCTCTGATATTTCAAGTACCCACCTTGCACCATACTTAGTTATTAAAATATTATTGACTATATCCCCTATGCTGTGTTTTCCATCTCTATGACTATTCTGTAACTACCAATTAATACTTCTTAATCCCTTCACCTTTTTTATGCAGTCCTCCAACCCCTGCCCCTTTGGCAACTATCACTTTGTTTTCTGTGTCTACGTGTCTTTTCTGTCTTGCTAGTTCATTCTTTTTTTTGTTTAGATTCTGCATGTGGTATTTGTGTTTCTCTCTCTGACCTATTTCACTGAGCATAATACCCTCTAGGACTAGGTCCATCCCTGCTTCAATTGCAGATGTTAAGATTTCAGTCATTTTTATGGTCAAGTAATATTCCATTATATATATGTGCCACAACTTTTTTCCCCACTTGTCTATTGATGGGCACTTGGGTTGCTTGCATATCATGGCTATTGTAAATAATGCTGCAGTGCACATAAATCTTTTTGAATTAGTATTTTGGGTTTCTTCAGACATGTACCCAGAATTGGACTCACTGGGTCATAAAGCAGTTCCATTGAATTTTTTGAGAAACCTGCACACTACTTTCCACAGTGGTTGCATCAGTTGGCATTCCCACTGACAGTGCACGAGGGTTTCCTTTTCTCCACATCCTCTCCAACACTTGTTTGTTATTTATTGGTGTTAACCATTCTGACAGGTGTGAGGTGATATCTCATGTAGTTTTTAATTTGCATTTCTCTGATGATTAGTGATATTCAGTACCTTTTCATATGTCTTTTGGACAGATATGTATGTCCTCTTTGGAGCAGTGCCTGTTCAGGCCCTCTGCCCATTTTTTAATTGGATTGTTTGGTTTTTGTTACATTCTGCAACCATAAAACCTCAAATTTAAGATTTGTCTTACAGTTAATTAACTGTTCTCCACTAGTCCTTTTGCCATAGCTTCTACATTTATCTCATTAATTAAAGTTTTCCTTCTAGTAACCATATTCCCTGAGTTCTTAGATGTAGAAATATGTTTTTTTATCACCCTTGTACTTAAACAGCAGTTTGGCTTGATATATAATTATTCTTGGGTCACTTTTTGTGTGTGTGAACTATTACAGAAAAGTACATGAAACAGTTTTGTGGTATGATAATTTGATGAATAATCACAACATGAACACCCCAGAAGTGAGCCCCCCACAAGCCTCCAGGTGTGCATTCTTTTATCACACCTCCCTCCTTCCCCAGAGACAACCACATTCTTTCATGTCAATCACTCTGCTTTCTTTATGGTGTTACCACTATGGATGCATCCCTAAATAAGAGAAGTCAATTTTGCCAGTTTTTTAAAGGTTTTTTTTTTTATTGTTGACACGATTACAGGTGTCCACTATTCCCCCACCCCCACTTTGCCCACTTCCACCCTGCCCTCCCTTTCTTCTGTCCCTCACCACACTGTTGTCCGTGTCCATGGGCTATGTATATATGTTCTTTGGCTAATCTCTCCACCTTTTTTCATCCAATCTGCACCCCCCTGCCAGTTTTTGAGGTGTATATAAATAGAAATCATACAGTGTTCACTCTTTTATCCTTCGTTGCTTTTTTGCTCAACATCACATTTCTAAGATTCATTCACATTGCTACTTGCAGCTCCACTTATATTTAAATTGCTATGTAGTGTTCTATTATATGAACATATTACAGTTTATTTCTTTGTTGATGAACTCTTGGATCATCTCTGGTTTGGGGCTATAAGGAGCCAAAATGCTATGAATAGTTTTATATGTCTGCTGGTACACATATGTGTGTATTTGGGAGTAAAAATGCTAGGTCTAGAGTATATACATTTTGTATTTCCTAAATATGGCCAAACTTTTTTAAGTGGGTTCTGTTACTTTATACCCCCACCTGCAATGTGTGAGAGTTCCTTGGGTCACCTTTCCTTGATATGTAGTGTTGTTCCATTGTCTTTGAGCCCAAGTGATCCATTGGGGTAGGTAATATTGTACTTCTGTTTTACAGATGAGAAAACAGGTTCAAAGTGGTCAGGTAATTTGGTGCAAGTTTATAGAGGTAGTGGATGCCAGAACTGACATGTGAGCTCTGCTTTTCAGCACTGCAGCCTGTTATCTTTACATGCTACTCTTTTTTACAGATAGGACTTCCTGACATCAGATATGTAGGGCCTTGAAACCTCACCAAGGAAGGTGAACATTGTCAGACTTTTTTTCTGCCGTCTTTTGGGGCTGGATTGGATATAGTTGATCTTGGAGGTGATCTGTTTCCCAAAGTCCCTTCCAATTTTGTGATGTAGATGGGACTCATCAAACATATTTAGTGTCCTGACAATTTACTTATTCCTTTTCTCTTGCTTTTAGTATCCAGCCTGTGTATGGAGCACAGCACCCTCCTCTGGACCCTCGGCTCACCAAAAAGTAAGTCAAGTTGTTTTCTTTTCTTTTTTGCTCTTTCAAAATTGTATTTTGTTAATTATGTTATTACAGTTCTCCTAATTTTTCCCCCTTTGCCCCCCTCCACCTAGCATTCCTCACTTCCTCAGGCAATCTGCACACCATTGTTCATTGTTCACGTATAAATTCCTCAGCTACTCCATCTCCTATACTGTACTTCACATCCCCATGGCTATTCTGTAACTACCTATTCATAGTTCTTAATCCCCTCACCTCTTCACCCATTCTCTTCCTCCCCTCTCCCATCTGGGAATCATCAAAAGCCTCTCTGTATCCATGATTCTGTTTTTGTTCTTGTTTGCTTAGTTTGTTTTTTTAGATTCAGTTGTTGAAAGATATGTATTTATTGCCATTTTATAGTTCATAGTTTTGATCTCTTTTTCTTAAATAAGTTCCTCTAATATTTCATATAATAATGTTTTGATGAGGATGAACTCCTTTAGTTTTTTCTTGTCTAGGAAGCTCTTTATCTGCCCTTTGATTCTAAATGATAGCTTTGCTGGGTGGAGCAGACTTGGCTGTAGGTCCCAAAGTCATTTCATGACTTTGAATGTTCCCTGCAAAGTTTCTTTGAGGAATCAGCTGACAGTCTTATGGGAACTCCCCTATAGATAAGTAACTTCTTTTCTCTTGCTGCTTTTAAGAGTTTCTCCTTATCTTTAACCTTTAACATTTTGATATGTCTTGGAGTGGGCCTCTTTGCATCCGTCTTGTTTGGATCATCTCTGTGGATCCTGTACTTGAATGTCTATTTCCTTCACCAAATTAGGGAAGTTTTTTTCATTATTTTTTCAAATAGATTTCCAATTTTTTGCTCTTTCTCTTTTCCTTCTGGCACCCCTATGAGGCAGATGTTGGAATGCTTGAAGTTGTCCCAGAGGTTCCTTAGCTTATCCTCATTTTTTTATCTTACTGTTCTGACTGGTTGTTTTATTCTTCCTTATGTTCCAAATCATTGATTTGATTCTCTGCTCTATTGATCCACTCTACTGTTGTTTCCCTGTAAATTGTTCTTTATTTCAATTAGTGTATCCTTCATTTCTGACTGGATACTTTTTATGCTGTAGAGGTCCTCACTAAGTTCCTTGAGCATCCTTATAACTAGTGTTTTGAACTCTGCATCTGATAGATTGCTTATCTCCCTTTTCTTTGGTTCTGTTTCTGGAGTTTTGATCTGTTGTTTCATTTGGGCTGTGTTTTTCTTTTCTCCTCATTTTGGTAGCCTCCTTGCATTTGTTTCTATGTGTTATGTAGAGCTGCTATGGCTCCCTGTCTTGGTAGTGTGGCCTAATGTAGGTGTAGTAGGTGTCCTATAGGGTCCAGTGGCATAGCCTCCGCTATCACCCAAGCCGGGTACTCAAGGTATACCCATTGTGTGGGCTTAGTACATCCTCCTCTTGTCGTTGAGCTTGGCTTGCTGTTGGCAGGTCAGTGGGAGGGATTTAGCCAGGCCAGTCAGCTGCAAGGACTGGCTTGACAACTTACAATGAATCACCACCCTCTATGGAGGATCAGCTGTGCAAGGGCAGAATGGTAGTGCTCCAATGTGTTCTGCAGCTGTCCACTGTGTGTGCAGGCTCTGGGGTTTCTCACATGGTGCAAGCCAGTTTTAGCTCCCACCTATGTTTTGCCCAGAGCCACCCTGCTTGGGCTCTAAAGCAATCTGAGATGGCTACTATTTGTGCTGGCTTGGAGATTCTCAGGCAAAGCCAAGCTGTGAATATAGGCTGGCTGCTGCTAGTGCCCGGCCTGGGGCCACTTAGTAAGAGGTATCTGGGCTGGAGGCTCACTGAGGCTAGCTGTTGCTTGTTTGAGAGGATTCAGGATGTTATGAAGCATGAGCCAAGATCAGCAATTCAGGTGGAAAAGTCTTCATTAACAGCTTGGGTGGTCCTGTAAGCTGGGTGGCACAGAGTCCCAAGAGATCTCCAGGGTAGGGCAAATGGTGTTGACCAGGTTGATGGAGTCTCAGATATGCCACTTGCTGGCTCTGTGGCTTTGTCAGGGGAGGGTTCGGAAAAGGCCTCTGCCTACCTTTCTTTGTGAGTGAAAGCTGTCCCTCAGGTCTCGCCTTGATACCAGACACTTCAGTTCTTCCCTATATGCCACTGGTGCCTTTCAAGCTGCTACCCCAGTGCTGGAACTCAGAGGGAGTGAGTCTAAGCAAGTCCATGTGTGGGGGTCTGTAAGAGGAACTGCTTGGGACTCTAGAAGTTTCTTCCACTGACTCAGTCTCCGCTTGTTTTTGCAGCCAGAAGTTCTGGGGATTTATCTTCCTGGCACTGAAACCCTGGGCTTAGGGGGCCTGGAGGGCTGGGACTCCTCAATCCGGAGATATCCCTCCTGAATTTTTATGTACCACATGCAGATGAGGGACCAGCCTGTTCTGCATCTCTGTCCCTCCTACCAGTCTGGATGGATGTGGTTTCTTTAATTCACAGTTGTTAGATTTCCATTCAACTTGATTTCTGATGGTTCTGACCTATGGTTGTTCTATAACTTAGTTGCAATTTCAGTGTGGTTGTGCAAGGAAGTGAGCTGTGTTTATCTGTGCTGCCATCTTGACCGGAAGTTTGTTTTTCCTTTCATGTGGGTACTTCCATCACCCCCAACCCTCCCCTACTTTGTTGGAATGACAGTTACCACTTTGACCTTTTCTACCTTCTCTTCTGCTGTCTTTTGGAGTAATCAGTCTTACCTCTGAACAGTCTGTTACTCAGTGGGAAATTAACTCCAAAGATTTTTTTTCTACACAAGAAGCAGATATATGTAGGATTTGGTGTTGTAGTCTCTGTCCTGGTGAAAAGGTCTCTATTGATTAAATATTGTTGTGAAATTGGATGATTGAGGAATTCCTTTGAGCAAGAGACCTGGTTTCTGGGGCTTATTGCTCTTGAATGTAGGTAGGTCTGCCACCTTTTCTTCATTTATACTCTGAGAATTAGGGCAAGTAGAATATAACTGTAGGGCTGGCTTTCTTCAGGTCCTCTTTCTCTTTGACACACTCAAGGAAACCTAGCCATACAACAGAATGAAAAAGCTCCCTGGAGGCTATTTTTCTAGTAAAATTCCAATAAATTATCTTTTTTTTTAATTTTTAAAGATTTTTATTTATTTATTTTTAGAGAGGGAAGGGAGGGAGAAAGAGAGAGAGAGAGAAACATCAATGTGTGGTTGCTGGGGGCCGTGGCCTGCAACCCAGGTATGTGGCCTGACTGGGAATTGAACCTGCAACACTTTGGTTCGCAGCTCGCACTCAATCCACTGAGCTACGCCAGCCAGGGCCCCCAATAAATTATTTTCAAACACAACGGAGACCCTAACTAAATCAATACCCCTAATTACCACTTTATCACAACTTTCTCTAATGGACTATCACTCAGCCACAGTGAGGAGATGGGTCCTCATCTCAGATTTTCTAAGAACTTTGGCCTCTATCTTTGGGTATACTTAAATGTTAGAGACTTATTTCTATGACCTATAGTTTGTAGTGAAAGCGGAATGACTTGAGAAGTGCAGGAAACCTAGGTTCATCAAGTATTTCAAGTACCTAGAAATATGGTACATCAAATATGCATTACCAATATTTTAATATTTTTCCCCTTTTATACTAAGTATTTATTTGAATGCTGCTCTCAGTGTGTATAAAATAATCATCCTTGTGAAATAGAAATTCATGAAAATTCAGAGAGGTAGATGTTAAGGACTGACAAAGCAGAAGTTTGTATAGTGTGGCACGTGTTATAGGGATAAGCTTTTTGTACAAGCTTCAAATTTAGCTCTCTTTGAATATTCACTGGTTCATGAAAAGTGGTTTAGAACACCTTCAAAGATTCATTTCGCTACAAAAAGGAACAGACTTTCTGGGGTCTGAAGGGGTTGATACTTGAAGATACTCCAGTCAGCAGGGGGTCATGTTGAGCATTCTGCAGACAGAATTGTTTCAAATCTGTAGCTGCCTGGGAAACCTTCACGTGGTTGGGCCCAGCCTCCAGCTGGAGCTGTTGAATCACCTTCTTCATAGCGGTGACACTGGAGGAACCAGACATGGTGCACGCAAGCTAGGCTGATTTGTCGGTAGTCCAATATTTTAATATTTTAAAAATAACTTTGCTCAATGTATGGTGAACTTTCTGTAATTCTACTAACTCATTCTTTTTGCAATTTGTCCAGTATGTAGAAGGTACATTCTTACTTTGGAAGTATGACTGCTGTTCTTTTCTGTAAGATGCACAACTTTTATATCAGAAACCACTAGACTGTAAGCTTTTTGAGGGCAGGGACTTTATTTTGTTCACCACTACACTGTTAGTACCTGGAATAGATGTGGCTCGTAGTAGGCACTGGGCAAACATTTATGGAATGAGGAATGTAACCCTTTATTTACTTAGGTAGCAGGCTTTTCTTTAATATTTCTTACTTTGTACTGTGTGTTAGCTCTTATTAAGAGGAACATGCTTTCTGTGAGATTTGTGTGATGTTTCCATTAAGCAGAATGAATTCTATTTCTTGGTTTTACCAACAGACTGTCTAGTCAGTTGGCTAGTATAGCAGTTACTGCTGATTACCCACCCAACTATTTCTTCTGGCCCTGCTTCTTCCTTGCTCAATAAACATAATTTTATTCAGCTGTTAATCTGGTGATGGTATACTTAGAGGATTAGTTTAGGCCTTTTACAATAATGCTTTGGTAATCCCAGTAACTGGTCTATGGTGAGTTCATCTCATGAATTTTGGCCAGTGAAACATAAGAAAGTGCCCTGAGGGAAGATTCTTGGAAAGATTCTTATGATCAGAGAGATCATTTTGGGAAAAAAAAAAAAAAGCCTGTTTTTTTGCCTCCACCCATATTTCCTGTTTTTCAGTGTGGTAGTGTGAAATTGAGATGCTGAAAACTGTAGCAACTAACTTGTAACCTGAGGGAAAGACCAAGAGAATTGCAGAAACACCAACCAGCTCAGTGTCCTGACATCACGGTCTTTACAATTTAAGCATCATAGTTGAGAATTCAGTTCCTTGTAGCCAGTCTTATTCACAGCCAGGGTTTGTTGATTGGTAATTGCTCCATGCCAGCATATTTTATAGTGACCTTTGATAGACTCTGGTTCACATATAAATCTGTCTACCCATACATAAGGTAGTGGGTGTACTATCCCATTTTACGCTTGGGTTAAAGTCACCACACCTTGTCTGCACCTGTCAACAACAGAGTTTTCTCTGACTTTGTATTTAAGCCAGGTCTTGTAATGTCACCATATCCCAAACTGCCATGACCAGCTTTATATACTCTTGTTTTCCCACCTGTTAATAATATAAAACCATGACTGTTTTCACTGATCATTCAGCAGAATTCCATTCATACTTTCAATAGAGGTAATCACTTAGCTCTGCAATTTGGAAGGACTATATTTGTCACTGAATAAACCGTGTCCCATTTCATGCAGATAGTGGTTTGGGAGTAATAGTCTACAGCATGGAACAACATCTAGGTTTGCACTGGACCGTTTTACAATTCCAGATTGTTACTATAAAACATTTATTGCCCTTATTTTATACCTTTGTTAGGACATTTTTATTACTTTCCCTGCTACTTGATTATCGTTCCACTTCAGACCATCATTAATTACTGTGTGGTTAATCCCCATCACAGCAGAAGCTTTACATTGGGTCTTCAATCATCTAAACTGCACGAGCAAGTAAGTCATTCCCCATCTGTGTATATTGACTTCAATTTGCCAAATTATTACCATTAGTGATAATATTGCCTGCAATAATTTTTATAGCTCAGATAAAACTAGTGTTATTGCAAAGCAGCCCCATTAGCGACTTGATGTCATGACAAGCTTCTAAATTTATTGTTTTCTGAGTAGATATCCTCATTCCAAGTTATAAGGCTGGTTCACGCAGAGCCACACTGGCAATTGTGATGACTGAATTCATTTGACTGTTACTAAATTCCCCACTTTCTTCACATCCCTTACCAATGTCAGACATTATTTTTCTAAACAAATTTGTGTCATATGTCTATTGAATGAACAACTGTATCAGTAAAACAGTGTAATATTAGTCAAATTACAGAATGATTGATCTTTTGTTTTCTAACCAGTATAACCTGTAACCATTCCTTTTCAAAATACCTGTAGGTGTTTGTGTTAATCTTTAAGTTATTATTCAGCAAACAACTAAGTTTCTCTCAATATGCCATTTATTGTGTTTTTGTGAGTTTTTAGTTTCACCTGCGCTTCTGAATCCCTTTTTCTTTACCACTTGCTACCTCCATGATCTTGGGCAAGTAACTTAACCACTTGGAGCCTTAGTTTCCTCATCCATAAAATAGGAGTAATAAGACTCAGGTCACAGAGTTGTTGTGAGGATTAAATGAGTATCTGTGAAGTGCTTTTTAAACTCTAATTTGGCATAGAGTTGTGAGGAGGTATGGTAAAAATGTCTGTCCGAGGCCAGTTTGGTTGTAACTTTGATACGGTTTTGTTTAAATAATCTTGGTTAAACTTCAAGTCACACTGTGGCATTATTGTATTGGGTTAGGTATAACTTAGTAGGGACCATGTTAAAATGAGGCACCTCAAGCTAGAATTACCTAGGTTGATTTTTTTTTTTTACTGGGACTACTGGGGTTAAAAGGGAAGAGGGACATTTTTCCCCTAAGGACCACATCCCTACATGTGACTTCCCATTCTGGCTACCGACATGAACAGCCTATTCTGTGAAAACAGGAAGTTAATTCCTACAAGACTAGAAAGTTAGGACTGTCAGCCATGTACACCTGGAGATGTTATAGCTCTGCTGCTATGTGCTCAATTTGCGTGGTGACTCCTTTTCCCAGGCTGCAGATCCTACCACGCCTCAACCCTCCCCCCCAGTTTTTCTAGGCAGTGTGGTTAGAGAGCATGCAGGCTCTGCAGTCAGGTGGATTTGAGCCCAGACTTGGCTGCCTGCCTGTGACCTCAATCAACCTCAGTTTCCTCGTCTATAAATGGGAATAATAATAATAATAATAATAATAATAGTACTTACAGAGTTGTGAATTAGCATTAATAAGAAAATGGGTTCATGGAAATATTAGCACAGTCTGGCATTTAGTAAGTAACCAATAAATGTTAACCATTATGTACATAGGAGTTTATATTATCCCCATTGAAGAGAACAAAATTAATAAACATGGAAAAATCTTCAGAGCCTTAATCTCCTGTCACTGTCACTGGTGTCCAGATTTTCTGCTCTCACCCAGTGGTGCACCAGGGGCTTTCACTCTCTCTTTCTGTCCTCAGACTCCCACCACTCTGGGTGATATCAGCCTCTTCCTCCACAAAGACTCTTTTCTCAGGACAGAGCTGACTTTTTAACTGGTTAGTTGAGTTTTGGGTTTTGTGGGGTAGGTATCTCTAAAATAATTTCTAGCAGCCTCAAAATGATCTGTTTCAAATCTCTCCTTTCTTTCTGTCACAAAGAATGACAGCCTTCCCTCCTCATTGAGTGGGAATATGTCCTTCCAGTTTCTATTTGCAAAGCCTTTATTTGAGTAAATTCTAATTCTTAATCTAGTTCACTTACATTGAATCTTCATCTGCTTCAGAAAATACAGTGAAATACTTTAAATGCATGCGAAGGTGTAAAGGAATATATAGCAAAGAGACATGTGCCCAGCACTCAGCTAATTTACCTCCTCGAGTTGTAGAGGGAGCTCAGTGTGTGTTAGCGCCCGACCCTTGGCACGCTCGTCTCTTGGTAGAGAGCTGTAAGCCAGTCCAAGGTGTGTATCTGCTGGACCCAAGGTTAGACCACCAGCATCCAGTCAATTCTTCTACCTGAGTTAAAATTCAGCTTGTTAATTTGATGGTTTATTTAAAGACTCCTTAAAATATAAGAGGGTATTTAGGAAACATCAACCAGAAGACAAAAACAGTAGTTAAACCTTGTGATCCAAAGTATTCCATATCATGCCACTGGATTCATTATGTGCAGCCTCAAGTTATGCTTAGCCCCTGAGGGGAAAACAATAATAATAACCACCACATACTGCTATGCAGTATTTTACTGATGACAGGTCTTTTGTATACATCTGCCTATTTGTTCTTGACAGTGAAGCTTCTGCAGTGTGTACTACAGGTGCTAGACGTTGGGCCTCTTTTACAGAGGAGAGGCAGTCATAGCGATGAGTCCAGAACATGAAGCCCCAGCAGGCCTGCAGGGGAGTAATTTGCCTTCTGACTCAAGTGTATTTTTGACATGCAGATATTTGTACTGCATTGCCTCGGTTTTATTTTCTTTGATTTGGGCTCTCTTGTTTCCAATTATTCTTTCAGTAGGTTTATAAGGATTCTTATTTTGGGATTTACAAAAGCCAACAAAACATTTTCCATTGAATAATAAAATAATATCCTCAATTTAGAAAACATGAATAATTCAGAGAAGTATAAAAATGAAATTAAATATCGCCTATAATTCCACAGTCCAAGAGATTAGCACTGTTAACATTTTGATGTATTTTCTGCCTGTTCTTTTCTGTGCATTTACTTTTTTAAAAATAGACCATTAAAATATATAATTTTTGTTCCAATTTTTACTTCCTTTAGATTGTCCTCAAGATGTGATTTTCACTGTATAACATTCCATCTGGCGGCTGAACCATAATTTAATCCATCTTTTCCAATTTCTAGATGTTTATGTTATTTGTAGTTTTTAACCAAAATAAATAATACCAGTAACTGTTTTAGATCATTTTTGTTTGACTTTCTGATTATATTTTTACGGTCAGAGAAGATGAACCCTTTTTGTGGTGATTGAGAGTACATTTATTAAAGTTGGGGACAGTGAAACACGGAAGGGCTTAGGATAGAGGAAGCAATAGGAGAGCCTAAGTGGGGACGCTTTGGCTCACTGAAGGACAAAGGGGGCCTTGGAGACAGATTCAGGGGGTTAGCCCAGGATCAGCTACCAGTGCTGATTGTTCCCCTGATTGCAAGTCTTGTGGGGATGCTCAGAGTTTAGTAGATGCCTGCCTGTGGGGGAGAAAAAGGGGAAGGGAAAAATGCAGGCTTACTCCTGGGAGAGAGAGCGTCGAGATAATGAACCATTTTGAGGCTTATGGTGTACATATTTCCAGATTGTTTTTCAGAAGGTCAGATAACATACACCCCCACCTGCAATATTAGAGAGCTGATCTCACTACACTCTGGTCAGTTGAAGAGAATACATCTTTAAATCTTTGCTAATTTAGCACTGGGGTGGACAATGATATCTTGTTTTCATTACATTTGAGCTGTTACATCTTGTAATTATGTGTTCTCTCCTGTGTTCATGTGATGTATTTTCCTTTACTCTGTGTGAAACTAGTTTTTGAAAATAATTCCTCAGTGATATCTTACTCCTTTTTTGGTGTTAATTATAGGGACATTCTGAAGAGCTGTATGAGTTACCAGACTGATTTATCAATGTTAATGACAATTGTCTTTCAGAATAAAGAATGGACTTATTTAGGGAGGTGGGGTGGATTATTAGACCACACATTTCTACTCAAAGGAAGAAACATCTCTTGGAAATGAGGGAACTTCAGCTCCTCTGGTAGAGCCTTTTCACTCTAGAGTTGCCCTGCCTTCCTGGGGGAAGCAGGCAGGCATTTTAATGTTTTTTGCATCCCAGTCCCCAGGTATACACTTACACGAGGCTATACCCTCTGCTTCCCTGTCTGGGGTAGGAGGGATGCTAGATAAGACTGAGTTAGAAATGCCCTGACCGCACAGTCCCCAGGGACTGGATTGAGAGGAAAGTTCAGAGAAGTAGGGATGTCCTACACAACTCTTGGGAATAGGCTTTTTCTTCAGTGAGTTAATCTAGTGTTCCCCAAATCTTCACTTTTTTTGGCCATTTTCTGTACTATTATTTAACTAAATACATTTCTTAAATTTAATCTTTATTGTATTTTTGTATTATAATACTATATTGTAATTTTCCATTACCATTTTGTTGCCTTATAGCACTCTCCTGCCAGCGATCATCACATTGTTGTCCATGTCTATGAGGCCTTTTTCCTTTTTGCTCAATCCCTCCACCCGCTAACCTGCCCCCACTAGCTGTCATCCTGCTTTCCACCTATGAAGCTGTTCCCATTTTCCTTGTTAGCTCGGTTTGTTCATTAGATTCCACATGTGAGTGAAATCATATGGTATTTGTCTTTCTCTGACTGGCTTATTTCACTTAGCATAATGTTCTCCAGGTCCATCCATATTGTCCCAAAAGGTAAAATATTCTTTTTTACGATTGAGTAGTATTCCATTGTGTAAAGGTCCTACAGGTGTTTCATCCACTCACCTATTGATGGACATTTGGGTCACTTTTAAATCTTGGTGATTGTAAGTAATGATGCAATGAACATAGGGGTGCTTATGTTCTTTTGAATTGATGTTTCGGGTTCCTCCGGATATATTCCCAGAAGGGAAACCACTGGGTCAAAAGGCATATCCATTTTTAATTTTTTGAAGTATCTCCATATTGCTTTCCACAGTGGCTGCACCAATCTGCATTCTCACCAATAGTGCAAAAAGGTTCCCCTTTCTCCACATCCTCGCCAGCACTTGTTTTTTGATTTATCAATGGTAGCCATTCTGACAGGTGTGAGATGGTATTTCATTATGGTTTTAATTTTCATTTCTTTGATGATTAATGATGTGAGCATCTTTTTATATGTCTCTTAGCCATCTGTATGTCTTCTTTGGAGAGTATCTATTCAGGCCCTTTGCCCATTTTTAATTGGGTTGTTTGTTTTTTTTTGGTGTTGAGTGTTGTAAGTTCTTTATACATTTTGGATACTAACCCCTTATCAGATATATTGACGAATATGTTCTCCCATTCTGTGGGTTGTCTTTTTATTTTGTTGACAATCTCCTTTGCTGTGCAAACACTTTTTAGTTTTAAGGAGTCCCATTTCTTTATTTTTTTATTTTGTTTTCCTTGTCTGGGGAGATATATCTGATAAAAAAAATTGCTACAAGCAATGTCCAAGATTTTGCTGCCTGTGTTTTCTTCTAGGATTTTTATGGTTTCAGGTCAAATATTTAAGTCTTTGATCCATTTTGAATGTATTCTTGTGTGTGATGTAAGAAGGTGGTCTAGTTTCATTTTTCACACATATCTGTCCAATTTCCCCAACACTATTTATTGAATAAGCTATCTTTAGCCTATTGGATGTGCTTGCTTCTGGAAATCCTAGCCACAGCAATCAGACAAGAACAAGAAATAAAAAGTATCCAAATTGGAAAGGAAGAAGTAAAACTGTCTTTATTCGTAGATGACATGATACTGTAGGTAGAAAACCTCCAAGATTCCACCAAGAAAGTACTACATCTAATAAATGAATTCAGCAAAGTAGCAGGATACAAATTAATATCCAGAACTTAGCTGCATTTTTATATGCCCATAGTGAACTAACAGAAAGAGAAATTAAGAAGACAATCTCAGTCACAATTGCTTCAAAAACAATGAAATACCTAGGAATAAACCTAACCAAGGATGTAAAAGACCTGTACTTGGAAAATTATAAGACACTGAAGAAAGAAATTGAAGAAGATAAAAATAAGAGGAAACACATACAGTGTTCATGGATAGGAAGAATTAACATCATTAAAATGTCCATACTACCCAAAGCAATCTATAGATTCAGTGCATTTGCTATCAAGATTCCAATGATGTATTTCACAGAACTAGAACAAATATTTCAAAAATTTATGGGGAACCACTAAAGGCCCCACATAGCAACAGTGATCATGAGAAAGAGGGACAGAGTTGGAGGAATTGCACTACCTAATATCAAACTATAGTATAAGGTGGTAGTAGTTAAAACAGCCTGGTACTGACATAAAAACAGACACATAAATCAATGGAATAGAATAGAAAGCCCAGAAATAAACTAAATACATTTCTAAAACCTCATTTTATTTACACAGTTAGATTTATTTTAAAAAATAAACCTTATCACTTCTATAAATGAAAAACCAGTATCATTTGCCAAAAATAGAAAATAACCTAAAAAAAACAGTGAAAAACTAAAATCTTACTAATTAAATTCTAAGCCAGGTCCTATTGCTTACAAATATGTTGCTCACTTTGTTAAAAAATAGTCGTATAGACAGAGTGGCACCAAACTGAGACTGTCTCCTCACAGCCAGCAGAAGCACTTGAACGGCACAAAAAGGATGACTTACTTGTTCATTTTGGAACTTGATGTTTAATGCTACATCTGGTCTAACTAAAGTTACCTCTTGTTCTACCAGTAGTTTGTGGCTTCAGGAGTAGTTGAGGTTATGTTGCCATAACAGGTTAAGTCTGAAATGTGGATGGATTGACACACAAAGGTTTGTTTCATGCTCATGCTGCATGTCTAGAGTGGGGTCAGGTGGGAGTGGAGCGCACACCAATGCTCACCTGTTCCAGTGCCCACCTGTTACCCAGGCTGAAGGAGGCACCACTCTCTGGATCCTCATCAGTTACCACAGTAGAAGAAAGTTTATAGAGAACTCACACCTTTTCTTTTATACTTGGACTTGGAAGTAGTTGTCTCATTTCTCAGCCCATCAACCAGAGCTAGTCATGTGGCCTCGCCTAAGTGCCTGGCGGCTGGGAAGTGTAGAGGAGAACATGGAAGAGTTGGCGAGCGTTGCTGTCTTACCACTGTCTGCAGCACAGGACTGGTCTAGATGCATCTGGGTGAGGAATAGATAATGGGTGTTTTTTGTTTGAAGATGATAATGATTGTGTATGAGATCATTTGTAATAATATTAATATCACATTAAACAAGTAGTGAGGTGTGTTAGACCATTCTTGGTAATGGTGTTTCCTTTCTTAAAGCTTCATTAAAGAACGATCAAAAGTTAATACAGTTCCTCTGAAGAATAAGAAGGCCTCCAGTTTTCATGAGTTTGCCCGGAATACCAGTGATGCTTGGGACATTGGCGATGATGAGGAAGAGGACTTTTCCTCCCCTTCTTTCCAAACTCTGAACTCAAAAGTTGCTTTGGCTACTGCAGCCCAAGTCCTGGAAAACCACAGCAAGCTGAGGGTGAAACCAGAACGGTCCCAGTCAACAACGTCTGACGTTCCTGCCAGCTACAAGGTCATAAAATCCAACAGTGATGCCCAGCTGTCCAGAAATTCCAGTAAGTCCATCCTGCTCCCCCCATAGCCTCTGCATTTCCAACAGAGTGCATTTTACATAAAAACATATTTTCTTTAGGGCATCACTCAGATTTTTCCATTGGATGGTAAACAAGCAAGTTCAAGGCTAAGGTATGACATCAGTGAGCCTAACTGGTCATAAGCTGAATTTGCTTCTCCTACCTTGATGGCTGCCTGGCCCTGCAACCTGGGGCTTTACCTCCTGACACCCAGGTGTTGCCTGAAAATCTCTTCTCTCTTTCCCTGTGCTGAGGTCCAGACTTTTGTAGTTTGTTTGCTTCACATTGCTTTAGTCCTGGTCAGGTTAAAGAATATTGACTCATATATTTAAGGTTGTTAGCTGAATTCCACAAACGTTCAGTACTGTTGGTTGGCCTCCTCAGCCGTGGGAAACAGCAACTAGCATAAGGTTGTCTCTCCTGTTCCTGAGGCACAAAGCAACATGTATGTGAAGGCCCTGTGTCACAGCTCCCTGCCTGTCAGGTCGGGGCAGCAGGAGGAGATCCTTTGGTGTGTCTCTTTAGGAGACTACCATAACTGGTTGAGGTGATAGTGGCTTTATCAGAGATTTGGGGACTCTCAGTATATACTTTTAAACATGCACTGCTATATTAAATATTGCCTTAAAGGGTGTTTTGGAAGCCAGTTATTCTGAGCTGGAGAGGGAAGTGCCATCATTCTAGTGAAAGTTAAAACAACTGCTTGGCGAAGGGTGAAAAGGAAGTAGAAGAATGTCAGAGCCCTAGCGTATGTCTTGGCTCGTGTTCTAAGAGAACTTCTTTCACAGCTTTAGACTAAGCATGTGGTCATGAAATTAGGCTGGAAGGCCTTTGAAATCATTCCACAGTCACTTCCTATCCCTGGCTTGGGCCCTAGCTTGAACCTCTGGTGCCTTGCACTGATAGGCATTTAGTGCTGGTTGACAAGGGGCCACAGCTACAAACAGCGTCTGTGCACCATGTCTGAGAGTCTCCAGTGTGAGGAAGACCCCTCCATGATCCCTATGAGCTGAGCTGCCCCTTGTGCAGCCAGGATCACCCAGAGCCTTCCCTTTGTGAGGTTCCCTCCTGCAAGCATCAGTCTGTCAATCACTGCCGTTAGCTGTGCACGTGGGCCTGAGCGCTGCAATGTGTGATCTGTGTTTTCTAGGCCTCATGTTACACGAGGCTTCCCAGCCAAGTACCCTGTGGCACTTGTTTCTGTAAACCTTCTGGTTGTGCTGGTAGTCACTGTTTAATTCTTGTTGTGACTAATACTTTTTAAGGCCCTGATATATAAAGAATATGAAACAGTCATGAAAGGACAGTCAGAATTGAAAACTGAGTTTTGTTTGGGGTAGTAAAATAAATAAGGGTTTTGGAGTCAGAACGATCTAGGGTGGCTCCTCAGCTCCCCCTTGCAAATTGGTTAACCTTTCTGAGCTCTAGTTTCCTCAACTGCAGGAGAGTTAGAAATCAGTAAATTCCCACCACATGTTATAAGGATCAAAGGAGAAATATGTAAATATGACCAGCACTCAATAAATGTTAGTCCTATACTGCCCATTTCTCTTACCTTGCCATCTAATGTAGAAATGTCTAGAACCAGACATAGAGTTCAGCTTGTATCTGTGTTCTGGTTATTTAGTTATATCCCAGCAGAATCAAAAGCTGGTTCATTTGGTAAAACATGTGGAGCATAAAGGAACTACAGCCACCAAAAGTGGGATTGCTGTAGGCCAGGGCTTCTCATCCTGTGCAGGGCGTACTGTGGGCCAAGAACGGGTTAGAGTTGGGCCAAGGGATACTGACCTTCCCCGTTCTTGGGGCAGCTGAGTGGGGCTGGGGCTTCAGGAACACAGCTACCTCTTGATATTGCAGCATGCTTTATAGTGTTGTTTCCTGTGTGTTGTTTCCTCTGTGACGTGGACAGGAAAGGCGAATGTGGCCTTGGATTATCTTGCCCCTAAACTCATTATTAGGCCCCAAGAAGAGTTCCAGGTTGGGGTAGAAAGAAAACATTTGATTGTCCTCTGGAGTCACCAAAAAAAGTGCTCAAAGTTGCTTCAGCATCCCAAGTCTCTGTTAGCACATAAGGTGCCTTGTATGTGTGATAAAAAACACAGCCTGGCCTCCAGGGGGAAGAGTGCTGCACAGCTGGGTTTCCATCCCCTGCTGCCTCTCAGCTGGACACCTCCGGCAGCCCACAAGCCACGCAGCTGTGGCTTATGGAGGAGATGGTACTAAACAGTCAGGTTTAAAGTTTCTCAGAGTCCGTGCTCTTCACACAGCCTGTTTCTTTCTCTTTCGTATTATCTCAGGTGATACGTGCCTGAGGAATGCACTCCACAAACAGCAGTCACTTCCTCTTCGACCCATCATCCCCCTTGTTGCCCGGATCTCGGACCAGAATGCTTCTGGGGCACCCCCAATGACTGTCCGAGAGAAAACCCGCCTAGAAAAATTCCGTCAGCTTCTCTCCAGCCACAACACTGACTTAGGTGAGTTTCCATAAGCTCTGGGCAAGATAGGGCCTCTTGGTGACTGGAATTCTCAGAGACCTGGAAGCTATTTCTCTTTATTCTTCCTTCTTTTACTTTTCCAGCATCTCCTGATCTGGTGCCCATTGCAGTGACATGCAGGTATTAAGTCAGAAGTATGTTACTAGAAATTAGGGACCAAATTAGGTGGGACTGGATTCTGTGGCCTGTAGACCATAGTGCAATTATTCTGGCTTTGGTCTCCCCACCTCAAGGCAACTCTATTGAAATCCACACCTACTGGTCTTTCTCTTCCCCTCTAACTCTAATCTCTAGCTGACTAGATCCCCACTGCAGAGCTGTGTCCTTGGCACTTTGCTGCTCAGGGCTGTTGTTTTGGCCTTTACCCCTGTGCTTGTCAGTAGCTGGTGGTGGTGGTTGTGGTGATAGTGATGGTGGTGATCATCTTACTTGAATGGTGGGAGGCATCAGGCAGGGCTGGCTAAGGCTTGTTTTAGGTTTTGGGAAGAGGTAAATCCAACAAAGCTGTTATCTGTTTGCAGATGAACTGAGAAAGTGTAGCTGGCCAGGGGTTCCCAGGGAGGTTCGACCTGTAACCTGGAGACTCCTGTCGGTGAGTTCTACCCACTGTGTAGAGAAGCATGAGCCTCACACAGCCCTTCTTACCTAATGAGGTTAGTTCGAGCACATTGGTCTTACTCCATAGACTTCTCTAGTCCTACTGGATATGACACAACTGTGGGACTGTAATCCTATTTCTGTTCCTAAAGAAACACATTCTGGAGAGTTTATTCTTACACAAGTAGAAGAGCATGACTTGGTTCCCATAGTGACAGTCTCACATTCTCAACACCAGAGAGGAAGGATATAGTGAGGTGCAGTGGTCCTAGTGCTTGTTTGGGCAAGTCGCACAGTCCCTGTGCTTGACTCCTTTTTCAGTAGGAATAACCAAAGTGGTTGAAACCCATTTTGCAACTATGAAGAGTTGATGAATGGGTTTCCCTCCAAAGCCTTCATAGTCCCATTTTCACCAAGTGTAGAGCACCGTCCAGCCACTGTGATAGGAATATTGGATTTTCTGAGCCTGTAAAATTCATTCATTCACCTAGCAAGGATTTATTGAGGACCTGCTGTTTGCCAGGCACAGTGCCAGGTACTGGGAGGGTATACAAAAATGAATCAACCACAGTTTCTGCCCACAAGCACTCACTGTGGAATATATTGCATAAATGTTCATGAGAGGATGGGTTTCTCTCCTGACTGCTCCCCACCCTCAGTCCCACAACCATGAATTATTGCCTCTGCCACTTCTTTTTTTGTTTGTTTGGTTTTTTTTTGGCAACTTCTGCACTTCTAATAAGTTCAAATGCTATGAGGAGTAGAATTAAAGTCTCACCAAATGCTATGGTGAGAACAGAAGAACAGGAGATGTAAGAATTGAGAGTGGGGTCTAGATAAGGGACAAGAATGAAAGTCGGCCTGGAGCTTTGGTGAGGAGAGGGCTGCTGCCAGAAGTTGTATGTGTGGATGTTGCATTTGCTATGTCACAGATTCCATTCAGCTTCCCATGCTAGTAATTCTGAATGTTATCGTGGCAAAGAAGGGGTAACCAGCACACACTTACGTGGCTTATCACTGAAATGTGCTGTAGAGACAGGCATCTCCCTGTGATTCTCAGAAGCATTACCTTGCACACACACAGCCTTCAGAGGTTTTTACTTGAGTCCACTTCCCTCCGACTGACCTACATTCACTGCTCTGTGTGCCAGCTGTGGGAGCTCCGGGGCACTCACCAGCAGTACAAGCTCGAAGCACAGCATAGGGCTACAAGAGTACATATCCCTGGGAACTCGGGTTCATTCACCCACATGTGGATGTCATTGAATGAGGAGAGGGCAGACTCTGGGTGGCCAAAACCAAAAAGGGATCTACCCTTGTTTTCTTGGCAGTTTTCCTTCCATTCCTTTGATAGTTTCCAAGCCACTGCTCAGGCTGAAATAAAAATTAAGGATTCATCCAACCATCATCTGTCCCCATCTGACTAGCAGTCCTGTCTATAGGGCTATCTCCCAGCCAACAAGGAGAGAAGGAAGTTGACCCTGCAGCGGAAGCGGGAAGAATATTTTGGCTTCATTGAACAGTATTATGACTCTCGAAATGAGGAACATCACCAGGATACGTACAGACAGGTACAGTGATCACATGCTGCCCTTTTGCTTACTTGTCATGTAATCTTAAGGTATGTCTCTTGGGAGTACTATCAGATATAGGTTTTCCAAGTCTTTAGTCTATGGTGTGTTGGTTAGGAATTAAATTTATTCCTGGGAGTATGCAGAGTAGGTACTGGGGGCTTGGGGAAAAAATTTATTCCTTCTTTCTAATTCGGTAGCTTTAATTTTAGCCATTTAAAATAGGGTTTTCCTCCTGGCAGTGGCAGTGCTTCTCAAATTTAATGTACATACAGATCACCTAGGATTTTGATGAAATCCCACCTAGGGATTGTGATAAAATGCAGACTTTAATTCAGTAGGTCTGGGGTGAGACCTTCACATCTAATGAGCCCCAGGTAATGGCAACACTGTGTTCCACAGACCTCACTGTAGTAGTAAGAGTATGGGGCACAAGATGCAAGGTGTGTTCACTCAGGACAGTGCAGTCCCTCAGGACTGGGACACCAGTGCCTGTTCAGCCTCCATGTCTGTTGGTCTGCCTGCAGGAGCCGTCACCATCAACAGCCTTGGCAGAGAGTGTTCCATCATTACAAATTGTGGCCCCCACAGCCTAAGGGAAGGTGGTTCAGGGTGGGGGGAGAAGAGGAGTCTGGTGGTTGCAGAAGAGGGGAAGGCTGGGAGAGGCAGCTGTCTGCAACAGTCCCTAAGAACTGAAGTACTCTCAACTGTATTGGAACAATGATTAAAATAAAATTAAAAAAAAGAAAAAAGAACTGAAGTACTCTCTGCCACTGCTGACACAGGCCTTGCAATTGTTAGACTTGGGAAATCACGAAGCCAAAACCAACTGTAGTGACCTCTTTGGTAACAGAAGTCAGAACTTTCGGTGCCAGTTACGAAGGTCAGCTCTCCCTGGAGTTTCTCCACTTTTTATGCATCGTGACTTCATGAGCAGGTCCTTCTTGGTTCCTCATTCTGGCACGTTTTTGTAGCTGTCAGAGCTCTTTTAGTTCCTGGAAACTGCTGATGAGTAAGATCGGAAAGAGGGGTACACATTTTGATCATACCGATTAAAGAAGTACCAGCTCAGAGTGAAACAGACTTCAGACCAATAGGGAAAAGCGGGTGATTCTCTTAGGTCGTGAAGCCTATTGCTTTTTGAGATAAGTGGTTTTTTGTGGGGAGGTTTCTTTGCTGTTCAATAAGCTGCTGCTATCATGGAAATGTATTCTAGATGGACAGACTATTTTTTCGTATGTCAGTTAGTTCTTTCTGAAGATAAATTGTGCTCTCACTCTTACTCCCTTGATCCTAGTTCTTACTAAGAAAATAACCTCTCAAGAGAACAGACTTGCATTTGTATTTTTGGCCATGGCTTCTCTTTTTCAGATCCACATTGACATTCCAAGGACGAATCCTCTCATTCCATTGTTCCAGCAACCACTTGTACAGGAGGTGAGGGAAGTACTTAACATTCTTGGCCTTTCTCCCATCTACCTTTGTGGCACCTTTCTGTGTGGATGAGTGCTGGAGCCTTCTCTCCAACCTTGAGCAGGTTTACATTGCATTGTGATAATACCCATGTGCAGCTGTGGAGTTTTGGTCCCTTCAGAGCACTTTCCTGTGCATCCTCATTTGATCTTCGTAACAAACCCGTGGGCAGAGTAGTGCTGATAGTTTAAGGGACCTGCCCAGAGTCTTGAGAATATCTGGTGACAGAATGAAGACTAGAGTCCGCATCTTAGAATTCCTAGACCTGTGTTTCCTGTTCTTTATCATGTTGGGGTAATGATTTTTAAAAAATTGCTATCAATATGTGTAACAAAATTCATCATTTTAACCAACTTTAAGTGTACAGTTCAGTGATATTAAGTACGTTAAACAATAATTAACTCTTTATTCCCTAGCAACTACCATTCTGCTTTCTTTATGAATTTGACTACTCTTGGTACCTCAAATAAGTGGGATCATACAATATTTGTTCTTTTGTGTCTAGCTTATTTCACTTAGCATAAATATCTTCAAGGTTCATCCATGTTATAGCATGGGTCAGAATCTCTTCCTTTTTAAGTTGGAATCATATTTCACTGTATGTGTGTGTAATACATACTACTGGCTGAGGCATCTGTCAGTGGACAGCGGGGTTGCTTCCACCTTTGGGTGGTGTGAATAATGCTCCTGTAAACATGGGCAGGCAAACATCTGTTTGAATCCCTGTTTTAAATTCTGGGTGTGTGCCCAGAAATTGAATTCGTAGTGACACTTTGAGATCTAACAAATTAGTGAAGCACATGGAAGGTCTCAGTGGGACTATTACCTTTTACCCAAGCAGTAACTATAAACTCCCAGAGAATAAGCATTGCTTTTGCAGCTTCAGAGTTGCTAGGGCACTGAGTTTAAATGATCTTTGAATTGCACTTGCAAGTATCCTCATAATAGGGAGGGATGGTGGTAAACATGCTCAAAATAGTTTATATGGACTTTAGATTATGTTCATAATTGTGTTTAATTGTATATGTCTCTACTGGTGGGATCCCTCATGACTCACCAATAGCATAAAGAAGGTTTGAGGGTGACACCATTACTTTACCTGTATGAGTCAGCTCAGAGGAAGCTACCAGCCCACTCAGGATCCCTGTGTGTCACCACATAGCTCCCACTACCGACCCAGCCTTGCTCATTCCTCATTTCAACCTGGAGATGTTCAGATACCTCTGCCTGTGCATGCTTACTCTACACTTAGACACAGGGAAAGTAGTTTGTTTAAAAGGCTTCTCCTAATAGTGGAAACTTGAATACGAAGAAGGAAAATCAAACTGTAGCCTTCTCAATTTTTCTCAAATCTCTGCTCTGTCTAGCAGGCTGTAGTCCCCTTAAACAGCAAAATGCTAACCAAGGAGCCGAGAACCAAGTAACTCTGAATATTGAAAGACTTGCTTTGCGAACCTGAAAGGTACTTCGGCATTAACTATATAGTAAGTCAGAGTTACTCACACTGGTAGAAGTGTAGAAAAACCCTCAGGTATTATCCTCTCCTCTCTTCTCCGTGAGGCCAGATTATCCCAGACATTTTTCTGTAATGAAGATTCCATGGTCTCCAGTGGTAACCAGGTTTAGTCCTATTCAGTTTCTATCTCTTTGTCATCTCCACTTGTACAGTGTGTGTCTGCACTGCCCCGTCCTTACTACAGAGCGTTTATTGCAGGTCCTGATTGTGAATGGGTAGCCGGTGGCCATTATTAAAGCCAGTCACCAAGGATTTGTGTATTCACAAGGGGTTGAGGGTGTGGAATAGAGGCCCTGGTAAGTCCTTCAGAAGGGCTGACCTGAGGGAGCTTTTAACAGAGATATCTAGACAGACAGGTTGCAGGAGGTGTGAGGAGATAAAGTGATGTAGAGAATCCTTAACTTCTCCTGAACTTGGTGGGTCTAGCTTGATCTATAGTTTCAAGGGAGGGAGGGTCATTTAGTAGAGAGAGGAAAGAATGAAGGTGAGCCCCCATTACAGAGTTGAGTCTAACACAAATGGGGATACTCTGCCCTTTCTCAGCCCCAGAGAACAAGTGGGCAAGTCTAGTGGAGGCAGAGAGGTCAGCCCCATCCAGAAAGCTTTGTTCTCATGGCCTGGAAGCGCCAGACGGTTGACAGTGGGAATGTTTCTCAGCGCTTTGCCAGCTGGAAGGGCTGGGGAGTGTCCTTTATTGTGTCTTTAGAGTCTCCTCTTCACTCCTATACTAGCTAATCGACTCTAAAACCATACAACCATTTCCTTTTTACTGTTCTCCCTGGGAGCTTTTCTTTTTCTCCACCTGACCTCTGAGAAGGCCTCCTCATTTTGCCCTCAGAGCCAACAGTCTGGGGCTCTGCAACATCATGTGCTATGGTGGGCTTGTTATTCCTGTCCCTCTGCATACCACTAACACCTGTGTCACTCTCTGCGTGGTTCACAGAGACATGAGCAGTCCACATCAAGCCCAGGAGTTGTGGTCAGTGGGATGAAGCCAGGGAATGGGAGAAAAGCTCAGAGGGCCTAATGAAAGCAGTGGGGAGTGTAGCTGAATGGGACAGGGCCAGACTCTGTAAAGGGACCATAAAGAGCTCTTCTTTCTCCCCGTTCTAACCCTCTGGCCCCTTGTGGCTAATACACATAACCACAGAAGCTTTTCCATGGAGGCCCTGGCTGATTTCTCTTTTCTCAGATTCCCAGCTGCAAGAGTCCAATAGGATTTGGTTTACTTGATTTGCTATCCCCAGCAAATGTATGGGTTGCATCCTGATATATGAAGTGACTTCCTGTATTTATTGTCTGTCACTACATCTTCTTCCATCTCAGCAGGGAGAAAGGAGAAGGTGGTAGAGAAGGTATTTCCTATCTCCATTCTGTAATGACAAAAAAGAGATTTAGCAAAAGTACCAAAACTTGGCTGTTTGATACTTGCTCCTGGAACTAGAAAAACAGTGTCTTCAAATGACATCCTGAATCAGTGACTTGCATTGCAAACCTTTTCTGAGGCATTGTGTTGCCATCCTTTTCCTAATCTTACACCAGACTGGCTACACACTGTAAAGATAAAGGGCAAGAAGTATCTACCTCTGCTTAAAAACAATTGGCACCTTAGAAACTTTATATTTCTGTATTTCATCTCATAGCATTTAAAAATTTTACAGCGACCCTGAGATAAAGTATGAGGCAGGTAAATGGAGGGAGGGAGTGTATCCCCATAATTTAACAGTTATATCTTCTTTCCTTCTTTCCTAGATCTTCGAAAGAATTCTGTTTATTTGGGCCATCCGACACCCTGCCAGTGGGTATGTCCAGGGAATTAATGACCTGGTCACTCCGTTCTTTGTCGTCTTCCTATCAGAATATGTGGGTAAGAAGCATGAGTACCAAGTTGGACGAGCTATTGTTCTTTCTTCTCTTCAGTCTGTTTGTTCTTCCCGAGTGCAGCCAGTAGGCACGTCTTGCTAAGTCAAGATAGTGACTTGAGTGAGCTAAGGCTATTTTAACAACATAGAAGCCTGGAATCTATCTCTTGCAATGATCATAAATCTCACCTAAAAAGACCTGCTCTCTCACAAGAATGATTGAATCGGTATGTTACGTTCTGCCATAAACAGAGGATTTGATAGTTTATCTGAGGTCATTTTAGGATTATTTTGAACTTGTGTGAAACACAGGCCCACATCCATGAAAGCCGGCATTTTAGATTGTACGATATATCAGTTCACTTAGTTCACACCCTGTTCACAGCAGTTCACTTAGTTCACACGCTGTTTCTCAGTAGTAGGATGTGGACATGTACAGGGGCAAAGGTCGTGGCACCAGAATCCAGCTCACATTGGAGGTAATGGGGTGGACCAAGGATAGCCCCAGCACCTTGATTTCTTCCCCTCCTCCTTCACCTCTTACCCTTTTGGGTTCTGGTCACTTTGGGTGGAATGATTAGATGTCACTGTGGCAGTTAGGTTCTTTTGCAGCCCCGGCCTCCTCCCTTGGCCAGGCCTAAATTAGGTGGTCTTAAAAGGATTTAAGGATCCTCCGCCTTTTTTTTTTTTTCCTTAATTACTTGTGTTAATAAATTCAAAGGAAAACCCATCTGTCATGGCCTGATGTTTTCTTCTTAAAGGGAAGCTCACATGAGAATCAACAGTGATAAGAGTCTTAGCAAACCAGCCATGTAATCTTCTCATTTCACAGATAGGCTGTAAGATTCACTCCTTCTTAGTGGCAGGGCTAGGACTAGAACCTTTTTCTTTAGACTTAGGGGTCGGGGGTTGGATTTTATGGATTTTGGAGAAAGCCATTGCAGGGGGGTAGGAAAGTAAAGTAATGAGAAGTGGACTAGAGTGGAGACCCTTGGCAGGGGAAGGCTAGGAAATGTCTCACTTGATTCGTCCCATTCAGGCTTTCTGATGGGGCTTAAAGGGATGGTGTTTTGGTTCTCCATAAGGCAGTCTCAAAAAGTAAGACAACTGAATGATATCATCCTGGTTCCCCTTTAGTGGAAGCAACCAGGGCAGACCTTGGAGTAAGGGTGGAAGGTCACTCTTGCCCACTCTGTCAGGTGATCCCAAGCAAAAGCGAGACTAGTGAAAATTCAGCTACTGGAAGCATATAAATAAAGCTTTGGCTAGAGGACTTTTCATTTTCCCTTCACATTCACAGGTCAACTTTTAGAGACAGCTTAAATCTGTGTATTTAATTTTATTAGGAACACTGCAGCTGATCTATTGGGATATATATACTATATTGTAGGCTGCTGCTTACAATAGCACTTTTCTAAAATAGCATTAAAGGAGGAGCCTAGAAAGGTATTAATTCATTCATTAGTCTACATTTGAAGTCTAAATGCTGGCATGAAATCTTAGTGACAGTATTATGCCAATTAAAAGCAGTTCCAGTTGGATATTTAATTATATTGTTAGCTGCTTTTTATATTTTGTACCCAAATTTTCTTTACTTTCTAGAGTAAGCCATCCCATTACTGCCTCAACCCCACCAGTCCCACCACGCACAGTGCCTTTCTTTATTTGATAAGTAGGACTGCATTCTGATTTTGGTATTTGGTTGTCAGCCCGCCTGCTGACCAGTGAAAGCACTACTGACTCCCAGCACTCGTGCAGGGCAGCATGGGCTGCTCATGGCAAGCCCTCTGCAGCACTCAGTATCACCACTGCAGCGGGCTGCCGATCAGCTTCTCCTAGACCTAGGAAGGTGGCATCCACTCATTTTTTACAAAATTTTACTATGTTACATTTCAAGCATATGTAAAATTAGAAAAAATCATACTTTAAAACCCTTTATACTTATCACCCAACTTCAACAGCCAGTGTTGTTTCATCTGTACTTCTACTCATTCTCCATCCTCTCAGCTTTGTGAATTATTTAGAGCTAATCAAGCATCACATCATTTCATCCATAAATATTCCCATATGTATCTCTAGAACACAATGATTGAAGAAATCCACAGCCACAATGCAATTATTATAGCTAAAAAGTAATAATAGCTCCTTAATATGATGTTATGTATAACAGTATTTAAATTTTCCTGATTCTCATAAATATATTTAACAATTTGAATCAGGGTCCAAATTGACTCCACACATTCTAATTGCTTGATATGTCTCATCAGTTCCCATTTTTCTCTCTCTCTCAGGACTTTGTAGTGTTAGCCCTTGTTTTTCCAGTTTTCAGCCTAGGGCTTCACCATACCAGGCAGTAATACCACCCTGGTATTTATTTATTTATTTATTTATTTATTTATTTTTAGAGAGAGGGGAAGGGAGGAAGACAGGGAGGGAGAGAAACATCAATGTGAGATTGCCTCTCACGTGCCCCCTACTGGGGACCTGTCCTGCAACCCAGGCATGTGCCCTGACTGGGAATTGAACTGGCGACCCTTTGATTCACAGGCCAGCACTCAATCCACTGAGCCACACTAGTCAGGGCTCACCCTGATTTTTAAACCACTTTACCATTTGCAAAGTACTTTGACATACCTGATTTCATTTAGTAGGCCCCAATATCTCTTTAAGCTAAATGTTTCAACCCATTTTACAGGTGAGAAATCCAAGCCTCAGAGGTTTAATGAGCTTTTAAAACTCAAACACAGGTCTTTTGACCTTAATACCTATGCTCTTTAAACCAGGGTTGTCTCATCTCAGATCCTTACCCTTGGACCTCTGATGGCTCCCTCTGCTCCCTTCTATGCTCCAAAGCAGGTAGCAGGCACATTTCTTATTGCTCCTTGCCTTTAAAAAAATTGCAGTAGAAGTACCTGTTCATTAAAAAAAGAATCAAAAAAATTTTGAAGTGCTATTAACTGCCTCCCGCCCCCAGAGATAACTACTATTGACCTTTTGGTATATATTTTTCCATACTTTTTCCTGCATGTGGATAGGCCTGCATATATTATTATTCTTTGTTGCATTCAGAAAAATGGGATCAAACTATCCATACGTTTTTGTATACCGATGTGTTCGCTCACAAATATCATGGCCACCTTTCCAAGTCTGAGCATACAGGTCTACTGTAACTTACCATTTTCAGCAATTACATTTATTTTCATAATAAGGCTTTACTATAGTTTAACAGTTCTATAGAATGACATTTAAATTGTCTATAACTTTTAGCTGTTATAAATAACATTGAATATCCTTGTACATATTTTCTTGTGCATTTTAGTCAAAATATATATCTCTCTGAATGGGAGTCTCTAGAAGTGAAATTGCTAGTCCCAAGAGCATGCCAAATAGGTACTACTGAATTACACTCCAGAAAAGTTTATACCAGCTTATACTCTAATCACTGATGTTTGAGTGCATTTTTCTTCACATCCTTAGCACAACTGGGCCTCTTAGTGCACTTGTGTTGCACCAATATAGCACATATACCACCATGGTTTGCGTTTCATATTTATTTTCACTTGCTCATCAGTGAGGTTGTTTATCTTTTCGTATGTGTTTTAGTGTTTGTTTCTTTATTACATGTTTCTTTGTTACTTGTTCAAATCTTTTAGCCATTTTTTCTATTGGATATTTGGACTTATTTTGTAAGAGGTTTTTGTAGATTAGATATATTTATTCTTCATCTGGTGTGTGTTAAAAATATTAGGTTGAATGAACCACATGAAATTGCTAATATTCAACCATTTTTTACCTCTCCCCACAGGAATTTTATATGGTTCAACCTAATATTTCTTTCTCCCAGGTCATTTGTCTTTTTAATTTGTGTATTGTGTCTCCTTATATAGAACTTCCTAATTTTTATATAGTCAAATTTTTCCATTTGACAAGTATTTATTGAGCTCCTATTATGTACCAGGGGATAAAGCAAATCAGATGACAGACTTGGGCCCTGCCCTGTGGTTCCTCCCATCTAGTGGGGGAGGATCCACAAACAGGTAAACAAGTCTTTGCAAAGTGTGAGGACAAGGAGGAAATGTCTCCTCCATTATGGCTTTTGGATTTGGTAACTTGTTAGGAAGTCTTTCCTTCCCCACCCCAATATTATAAAAATATTCTCCCATGTTTTCTTTTAATACTCTTGTGGATTTGGATTTACATTTAGCTTTTCTTTTTTTCTTTTTTTTAAATATCTTTTATTGATTATGCTGTTAAAATTGTCCATCGCATTTTCCCCCCTTCACTCCCCTCCACCCTGCACATCCCCTTCCACCCACATCCCCCCTCTTTAGTTCATGTCCATGGGTCATACATATAAGTTCTTTGGCTTCTGCATTTCCCATACTATTCTTACCCTCCCCCTGTCTATTTTCTACCTGCCATCTATGCTACTTATTCTCTGTACCTTTTCCCCCTCTCTCCCCCTCCCACTCCCTCCATCCTGCTTATCCTGCTGATAACCCTCCATGTGATCTCCATTTCTGTGGTTCTGTTCCTGTTCTAGTTGTTTTCTTTGTTTGTTTTTGTTTTAGGTGGGGTTGTTAATAATTGTGAGTTTGCTGTCATTTTACTGTACATGTTTTTTATCTTCTTTTCTTAGATAAGTCCCTTTAACAGTTCATAAAATAAGGACTTGGTGATGATGAACTCCTTTAACTTGACCTTATCTGGAAAGCACTTTATCTGCCCTTCCATTCTAAATGAAAGCTTTGCTGGATAGAGTAATCTTGGATGTAGGTCCTTGCCTTTCATGACTTGGAATACTTCGTTCTAGCCCCTTGTTGCCTTTAAGGTCTCTTTTGAGAAATCAGCTGACAGTCTGATAAGCACTCCTTTGTAGGTAACTCTCTCCTTTTGTCTTGCTGCTTTTAAGATTCTCTCCTTATCTTTAATCTTGGCTAGTATAATTATGATGTGCCTTAGTGTGTTCCTCCTTGGGTCTAACTTCTTTAGGACTATCTGAGCT